AAACGCTCAAAAAAAAGAAAAAAGCGGGATAATTATAGTATTGCATGGGACTATTTTGAGACTGAAGAGACAGAAAAAGGTTTTTTTAATGTCTGTCGATTATGTAAAGAAAAGAACATTACAATCAAATATGTACATAACTCTTCAACTAGAAACATGCTTGGTTACCTTTGGTCCAAGCATCGAATCGATAAAGATCATTCTGATAGAATGAATACGGATAGTACAATTGTTAAAGCAATGCATATTATTACTAAACGTCGACAAAAAAGACTAGCACAAGATTTGGTTGAGTTTATCATTGAAAATTGTCAACCTTTAAATATTTTGCATTGTCAATCTTTTCGTCGATTTTTAAATGATCTAGAACCTGGATTTCGGATTCCCTGTAAAATAACAACAAAAAAAATGATTAATCAAGCTTACGATTGGAGTCATGACCAATTATTTGGTATGATGAATGTAGATGGTGAATCTATTAATTTGACCACAGATTTGTGGAGTTTAAGAACAAATAAAGGATACATCAGAGTTATAGCAACGTGGATTGATTCAAACTTTATATTAAGGGAAGCTTTATTAACAATCAAACCAATTCTGTCACCTCATATAGCTGAAAATATCAAAAGCTCACTTGATCAAATTATTACTGAATGGGAACTAACTGGAAGGGTTTTTTGTATTACAACTGATAATGATGCCAATATCAAGAAGTCAATTAGATTAATGAATAACATTAGACGATCAGCTTGTTCTGCTCATACGCTACAGTTAAGCGTACTAAAAGGCCTTAAACCTGTAGCTCAATTAATTAAACGTGCAAAAAATCTTATTCTTTTTTTTTCTCAAAGTCCTAAACAAACTGAATGACTTAATGATGCATAAAAAAAAATATCGTTATGCAACAATTTATCAAGTAATTAAAGATATATCAATAAGATGGAACTCTTCATACTTGGCTTGGATTAGGCTCAAGGAATTGCGAAAAGCGATAAATTATCTTGTCCTTATGCTACTATCAGAATTAGAACGGCGTGACTAGCTTGACAGTGAATATTTGAAGTTAGTAAATCTAACTAAAAAT